ATTTAAAGATAGAGTATTTTTTCTTTAACGACCCTCTCGTTAATTGATTGTCACCTCGTTCCGCGATAACTTTTCGACGATTGACGAATAAATCGCTACAATGGGAGAATCTTAAATTTTAAATTGGTCACCGGGGAGTAAGTGAGTCACTTATCGGTACCTCATGAGCCGCTCTATGTACGGACACGCGTGTGTGTATACGTATGTGTGCTTTATACAAGCGGATCGATCTGTTGCGAGATGCGATCGTTTCGATCTCTCGAGAACATCGGGCAAAAAACGTCCGCCGGTCGTTTCGCTGAACGGCCGATGTCGAGATACGGAAAGGAGCTGCGCATGTGAAAATCAAAGGAAACGCGATTTTATCGAGTAGCCGGACGTAAGAAAGAAAATCTTAAATTGATCGAACGATCGATCACGGGGAGTAACTTTAAAAGGTGAACCTCTCACAAACAATTAGAACGTTATCGGAAGAAATGGACAATAGGATGAGAAGACGGATCGAAGTCGAGCAAAAGTGAGGACGCGGCTGCGGGAATCCAAATTGCGGACAAGGAGGAAAATTCGAGACCGATAATGAGAAAACGAAAGTAGACTTTCGAGTGTGTTTTCGACAAAGAGAAATGCGCACGTTAAAAGATACATAAATACACGAAAGATTAACGGGGACGCATGAAGCTGTCAAGAAGATAAAACGAGGAAAAAAGATCGCGCGGAGAAAATCAAATTCGACAATAGACAAGCGCGACGATGGACACTGCGAGTTACGAAATAATGTCTGCTGAAAGTGCACTCGAAAACAACAAATGCGCTGATACACGAAAAAACCGAGAGATTAAGACCGTGCGTGCACACCCGATTCACCGAGGCATGTGCACGGAACGTGTTATCTGTTCGCGCGGCGCAAAAACAAAGATTAATAATTAAAATGCAGAAATTCGGTGTGAGATTAACGGTACTTGTAATGCGATTATGTGCGCGCTATAATTAGGCGGATTTACGCGGATTTTTTTCTTTATATCTCTGATTACACAAAAAACATCGAGAACAAATATTCTTCACGCGTTTGATAACGCCCCGAAATCGACTTAATTAGCATATTTTACTGCCTAAAACGAACGACGCGTTAAAGTTTCGAGATATGTTTTAAATAAAAGCGAAAAAAAATATGATAGACAAGTATCGCTTCGATTTAAAATTATTATTATCGCGGCGTTGGCTATTTTCTCTGCGTGAAAAATATGTACGGAATTGCAAGATTGACGAAAAAGACGAAAAGGATGAAGGCAGAGAGGACTTTCGCGCGCGGAGAAAAAAATACGCACAAACGCATTTCCAAAGATTTTGCTCTCCGCTCGAAGGTTGAAAAGGGGTCATTTGTGATAACCCGAGTCGCAAAGACGATACGTGCAATTAATCTTTCTTTCTTATTTTTTTTTTAGCATTTTTGAAGCCACGTTAAATTTGGCACTTGCGACCACGCCAATATCGCATTGATAAGATCGCGAACTGCGTCGCGCCGTTTTGCGCACGGTGCTCGCGAACTAGCAAGCGTCGCGTTATATTCAAGTAACATCATTTCTTAATTTTTTCTTATCGTCACGGATCGTTCCGGCTATTAAATCTCGCATCCGATGATGCAAGAACGTAATTCCTTCGCTCTTTTGTTTCACCTCACCGGCCGTTCTCGTTATCAGAGAGAAAGAGAGAGAGAGAGAGATAGAGATAGAGAAAGAGAGAGAGAGAGAGAGAGAGAGAGAGAGAGAGCAGCGTCGCTAAATATACGCCCGACTTATTTTCGACCGCGTCGCGGAATCAAGATCATTTTAGGAAGCAAACCTTCGTCACGATTGTCGCACGCTTTTCAACGTGTACGAACGGAAGACGCGGCGGCTGTGACGCCTCGGGAGGAGTTGAGAATGTCGAGCACGTGAGGCACGTGAGCGAGTGCCTCTTATAAATAAACGCGATCTATATAAAACGACACGCAATGCAACCGCGGTTTTCGATTGAATTATTCTTTCGTTGCTTTCGAAAGAAAATAATTGTATTTAAACCCACATATCCAACACGCAAATTATGTGCGTTTAAATGCAAATTTTGTTCGAAATTCAATCGAAAACCGCGGTTGCATCGCGTTTCATATAGATCGCGTTTATTTATAAGAGGCACTCGCTCACGTACCTCAAATCACGCGCGGTAAATTAACTCCTTGTCGTACTTTGACGAGTCTGACTCGTGATAACAATTTTGACCTGAACATGGATATCACGAGTCAGACTCGTGAAAAGAAATACGGGCCAAACGTAAATATCACGAGTGAGACTTGTGGAACCAAGTGCGGGCCAAACGTAAACATCACGAGTCAAAGTCGTGAGGCAAGATCAAGCGTGAACAGGTATCCGCACGTCGGCTTCTATTGTGATTGTCTCCGCGCATCACGCTGCCCGTTTAGTGCGCGCCGTCTTCAACCGCTTGAGCACGGATTTTGTTGAGCTAAATGGTACGGCAAGGGGTTAAAATACTATAGATTGAGAGATTGTATTATTCTTTCAAAACAAAATATTATATTTAAACGCACATCCAACACGCAAATTATATGCGTTTAAATACAATATTTTGTTTCGAGAACTACGCGAAAGAATAACACAATCTCTCAATTCATTTTAATTTGCCGCGCGCGATTTAAACTCGAACGCAAATCGAGTCGAAGTGCGCGCGCGCTTTGCGAACGCGCCGGAACACGGCGATGCTGCAGAAATATCTCAGTTCCTCCGCGTTTTTTGTTGCAACTTTGCAGTAACGTTGCAAAATAAAGCCATAATTTGTCGCGATGATAAACGGGAGACAACACTTTTTATCGTTATATACCAAAATGGCATATAACCCTATGATCACGCGATACGCGGTAATCGCCCACGATATAGATGTTGCGCCCGACGGGATTCTGTTAGGCCGCTTTCTCTCTCGCGTCCGAAATTGCGCGAAAAAAAATTCCGCCCGGCTATCTCGAAAAAACGAAACACCACCCTTCGATCGTCCTCCCTCGTGCCGAGCTTTCTCTCTTTCTCTCTCTTTCTCCTAAGCAGGTCGTTGATCTTCTTTTATTTCTTTTCTCTTTCTTTTTTTCGCGAACACGGGGGCCTTAATAACAGGTTGTGGTTCTACTGCCACTATTACGTGCTTAGCGGCAAGTGGCTCGAAGACAGTTTTGCCTGAGGGACTCGTGCAACAGATCCGAGCGGGACCGTTTGGAGCTTCTTCTACTCCTTAACAAGTGTATATTACACACGAGTGCATACAGGGTGTCGCCGAAATCGTGCGCGATTCCTCGAGCACCACCGAACGGTCCTCTTTGGAACGTTCCTCCTCCTTGGCGACAACAGCTGATGCTCGCGATTGTCGGCGCGCGTCGCGCGAATAGTTCGCACGTACGCTGGAGTTTATTTTAATTTGTTTATTACAAGAAAAACTGCATTGTGAAAAATTTTTATCTTCTTAGCGGCGATAATCGCGGATTTGTGTATTGTTTTTTTTTTTTTTTTTTTTTCGATTTTGAGTTTTTTTGTAACAAGATTGAACTGCGTATTACAACTAATCCCTATATAATGACGATTCTCGCTTGAAGCGCAACAAATACCCTGAAAGTGCGGAGATAAACAAAATTGCATGCGATCGTGCGGTCGCGTAAACGTTCATTAGAACCAACACGCAGAGAGAGTCTCGGTTTCCCTCTGAGCGCGGGCCGTAAGGCCTATATCGTCTTACAAAAGGCTTTTGAAGCGACAAAGGATCAAGGACTTTTCGACTTGTTTAAGGAGTTAGAAAGATCCCCCCCCCTCCCGAAAGAGAAGCGCCTGCGACAACCGACGATTAAAGAGTTCGAGTTTGGGCAGCGACGCTCACGCTCGCACACTTATGTATGTACACGAAGAGGCGTCGAGAACGAGATGAGTGTCAGGCACGTTTGAGATTCTGACTGGTAGCACATTGAGCTTAAGGACCAATTAGGATTAAAATTCCTTTCACGCTCGGCGCGCGCTCCGCGGAAGCAAATGTAAAAAAAAAAACTCTTTTTCGTCGATTTTAATTTTTACAATTTTTGCAGCGATTCTTTCTAAATTTTTTTGAATGTTTTTTTTTTTTTGCATCTCTCATTCTTTAATGCCGAGTCTGACGTCTTTAGAGAAGAGAATTATTATGTATCTTTTTTTTTTTTTTTTTCAAATCGAAATTAAACACAAAGATCGTAAGAAAGCGAGCAAGTTTCGTGTCGAGTAAATCGCGTAGAGATTTAAACAGCAACGGATGTAAGAACCAGGTTATATAATTGTTACTTCGGCGCTATTAAGTTACAAGATGCTCATCAGCGGCGATGATACGATGCAATTCAGTGTACGTACCTATGTACGCCACACGCGAGAGCGTGTGTGTGTGTATATATGCGAGTCACGCCGGGCGGATCGCCGAGTCGCTGAGGTTAATTTACTTGACGTTGCCAAGGAAAACATGATCGGTGTCGTGTATGAAATATTACCACTCGCGGTAATTAATTCTGAGCAAACCGTGGCGCCTGACTGGCATGATCTTTAGGATAACGCTACCTATTACCGAGATATGCAGCCGGTTTTTGCGGCCGTACGTACGTATGTATATATCGGACTTGTTGCGAGGAAAAGATCATCGCTACATTGATGTAATACATGTAGCGCTTAATAATAATTGAATGCAAGAGATTTTTTTTTTTTTTTTCATATCGTGGCGAATTTTCATACGCGTTACGCAAACGATAAGTGAGCGTTTGTGAAATTATTGACTTTACACACGCGATACATTTCGAGACACATTGTGTGTGTCACAGTCTCGAAATAGAAACAGAAATACGAAGAAGCCAAATAATAGTTCGAAATAATTGTTTATCAATATTGAACAAAGTTTTTTTGATTAAATATTGTCTTTTCTAGCCAAATTGTGAACAAAAGAATGAAAAAAGGACTTACGTGGCTGTGCCAGAGCAAATACGCTCTCGGTCTTCGCAGAATACTCATCGTCTTCGTACGTAGGTCCAAATGATTGCGGTTGATCGGACTGCATCCCGTACATATCCATCAGCTTCGAGAGGGCCGGAATCCTTGGGAGAGCTCGACCTGTCATGTTCGGCGCCTGCCTCAGACCGAGTTTGTTCAGAATCTGCTCTTTTATTGCCTGAAGACTGAGTTCACGGAGTTCCTCGTGCATCCTGCACGTGGAACATGAGGCGCCGACCATCGCGAAGCGCTGGCTGTTCTCGGGTGTATTAAACACACCGAGAAGTACCAGCAAGAGTAGTAGTACCGCCCTCGTTACCATTTTGCTCTCAAGGTCGTCGTTTGGTTGAGTCAGCTAAGATCGGTCTTCGTCGTGTAGGAGATACGATCAGATGATCGATAGATCATTACCCGTCGTCACTCGCTGAATTCGTTCTCCTTTCTTCGGCAATAAAAAAACCAAAAAAAACGAATTGCTTTAGCCCGATTTTTTTCGGATTTTCTTATTTCTAGAGATAAAATAAATAACTCGCGCTACTTGGTCTTTCTTTTCTCACGTGTAGACTCTTCTTGTTCTCTCCGTTATTTTTTTTTTTTTCCTCGTTTTTACTCCCTCCCACGTTAATTATTTTCTTTCGCGAAGAAAATCTTTTCGTCACAGTTTACCTTCGCAACTTTTTTCTACACGAGCACACGCTGTCCTCGTCCTTCTCGAACTTTCTGGCTTCCTTGTCACGAGACGTCGCTTCACCTACGGAACTAGGTGACTGGCCTTGGTCACGATCGCGGTTACACGCGGTCCAGTTTCACTTTCCTCCTTTTCTCGCGGATAACGCTCCACTTTTATGGAGGTTTAACGAAACTGTCTCACGCGCACCAATCACTAACAAGAAACAGTTCGTTCGGATTTCGTGCAGTGTAACCCAGAAAGCCTGGAGGAAGGCAGAGCATGCAGATTTCGCGACCTTCACCCCCGACGACTTCGTTCGCGAGAAGTCTGTACCCCGTTTCCCCAAGATTCTCTTACTTCAATTTTCGAGGATCTATCCCTTCGCTCGGTAATCTGTGACGTTACTCTAACTCGGTTTATTTTATTTTATTTTTTTTTGCTTTTGTTATAATCATACTATTTTTTACGGTACCAAACTTTTATGTTTAAGCAAGCTTTAACAGCGTTTTTTTTTTTTTTAAGAAAACTCACCAACTGACTACGGATCTCCAACGAAATCCTAAGTCAAGTAAAAGCGATGAAGGTCCGAAGATAGACAGACAGACTGGCAGAACCCGAATGAAGAATCCTAAGAGCTCACCGGTTTGTCAAGTACTGACAGAAGGCGCGAATTCTCACCGTATATATGTCCGAGGTGGAGACCTCCACCTCTTCTTCTTCTTTCTTCCTCCCTTTTCCTCTCGCGCCCTCTCCCTGTTTGCTCCCGCGCGGTGTATCTCCTTCCTTCGTGCGGAACACGCCGCGACGTATCTTTCTCCCGTCTCTTCTCTCCCGTAGTATCTTACGCACTCGTAGGGGCCGAACGTATATCTACCTATACCGTCGCCAACAAAATCCCCCCTTCCGCCCTTGCTATCAGCCCTCCTTCACCTTCTCCTTCTCCTCTCTTTCTCTATCGGTGTTCCCCGCTCCCAACCCTTTCCGCTACCACCGCTACCGCAAGTGCCATTCTCCCCTTGCCGCGCCCTCCCGTGACTCCCGACCGTCGCACCCGCCCGGCGCGACCCCACCGTTCTTCACGAACCTCCTCTTCGTCGCTACCCGGCCGTCGCGATTCCGATAGCGAAGCACGATACGCCACTTATCTTCGTTCTTCTCGATTTGCAAATCACCGGGCGGGCAGAGCGGTGATCCATTATCAAAGCTCGATGTAACCCGTGTCGTGATCTTCACGACCGCCAACATCGGGACCCCCGTCCCAATCGCACCGTTTATGGTGTCAGTTGTAATAAAAGACATAGCGAAAGAGATACCCACAATCTTCCCGATCGGCAAAAGGATGAAAGAAAAAAACCGCGAAAAGAAAGTTGTCGCCTTCTTGAAAAAAATTACGCCCTTAGGAATCCGCTCTGTCAATCTGTCTCGGACTTAGCCCTCATAGCCCTCACGCGTATTATAGAATACGAATTTCTTAGATTTCTGAGTAATATTAAAGTGTCAGGCATGTTTTAACTAACGTTTTAATCTGGTTAGATTAATTAAAATATATTTTAATCTGTGATGATGTTGTTTTATTACGGGTTCTTAACGAAATTAAAAAATCTCTTGTTTAGCTCGGGCAAGTTTGAACCTATGTGCAGGATGTTGTGCAAATAATTTTAAATCAATGTGATTAATTCAAACGTTTCGGTTTATTCTATTCAAACCATCTTTAGTGGAATACTTTATTTGAACAATCCCTCCTGATTTTCATTAACGAAGTATAAATTAAAATTAAAATTGTCGTTGTCAAAGTTTTAAAATTAGAAAGTCATTGTATGTGTGTATGTCAAGCTTCGTCACTGTTGTGTGAAAAAATATAAAATATATTTAGTAATATATTTATGTAAGTAGGTAAATTAATAATTAATATAAGAAAAATTAATATAAGAAGTAACATAAAATAAGAAAAAATTAACGTAATATAAGAAAAAAATTAACATAAGAATTAAAAAAAAATTAACATAAAAAAATGTTTTAAAAATTTTACATAAGAAAAAAAATTAACATAAGAATATAAGAAAAAAATTAACATAAGAAGAATATAAGAAGTAATATAAGAATTATTATAAGAACTAACAATTAATATAAGAAATAGATTTTATATGAGACTAAATATAAGAAATACAGGGTGTCACGCAATTAGGACGGATTCTATCTCGAAATTAGTAAAAGATAGAAAAAAATTCTAAAGAACAAATTTGTTCTTTTATATAAATCTTCTACAGAAACAAATGAGCGGGAATGCACTTTATCTTTGAGATAACCCCATAAGAAGAAGTTCAGAGGATTCAAATCTGGAGATCGTGCTGGCCATGGTGTTGTACTATGTGTTCCAAACCATCTATTAGAATAAATTTGTCATAGATAAGTGGTTACGATGCGTGCATAGGGTTATCTCAAAGATAAAGTGCATTTCCGTCTATTTGTTTCTGTAAAAGATTTAAAAAAACGAATTAAACTACATTGTTTAAACATAAACAGTGATCACATTAATGCTGTAATGAAAAACATAAAGAAACAATGTATGAAGTGTTTACAATGCAGAGATGAAACGTTCGAACATCTTTTATGAAGTAAACGACTTATAAAAATTGTGCAATATTTCACGAAATATTTATTTTTCAATCATGATAACCTAATACTTTTTTACGCAGAATGACCTGAGGAATTGATATAAGTACAAAAAAATATGCACTTCTATTTTAAAAAAAAGTGCATTTGCATTTTTCAGGTGCATTGTTGCACTTATAAAAAAAATAAAATCGTAGAAAAATAGACAGTATCATCCCATTCAACTTTGCTCTTTAGATTTTTTTTTTATCTTTTACTAATTTTGAGATAGAATCCGTCCCAATTGCGTGACTTATTCTGTATATGCGTGCGTGTGTGTTGTGTGAATGAAGCGCGACTATTAAAACCTCAATATTAAATTGTTTTAGATTTCTGATTAATATTAACGTCAGGCATGTTTTAATTAATGTTTTCATCTGATTGGAAAATATATTTTAACGGTAAGCGAGAAAGTAAACACAACAAAGTCACATAATCCGCGTTCGAATCTATCATAAACAAGAAATAAATATTGTAAACGAGAAATAAACAATGTTTAATAAAAGTCGCTCTGCGACATTCAAAATATTCGTGAGACATCAAGGAAAGAAATACGAATGTGAGAAAAAAATTAAAATATATTTCAATCAATCCAATCAGATGGAAACATTAATTAAAACATGCCTGACGTTATAATAATTAGTAATATATTTATGTTATTGGATAAATTAATAATTTAGAATATAAGAATTAATATAAAAATTAATAGATATAATATAAGAAATAGATTTAATATGAGAGACTAAATAAGAAATATGCGCGCGTGTGTGTTAATTGTGTGTCTGTGAAACGTGACTATTAAGAGGGTCTGGAGCCCGGCTTGTAAACTGGATAGAGACCTGTAAACCGACGTTTTTATAGCCTAAATTTCTTTATTTTTTAATTTTATTTACTGCACAACATTAAAAGCGCTTCTACAGAAGCAAGTAAATATACAAAACTAAAGCTTTTGAAAATGGGTATATAATGCTTTTTTGAACTTGTTTTTCATTCATAATGATAGTATATGGTATCAAATACACATCATCACGAATTCAGATTTCTCTCATCAATGAGATAGTCAAATCATAATTTGAATAGCTCATTCGATTCGTTTTTATCGTATGTTGGGTGCTAATTCACTGGAAATACTTACATAAGCTTAGAAATAATTCTACATACATAAATATATGAATATATGAGTGAGGTTATAGAAGGAAACTGTATAAGAAAAAATTTGTGCTGAATTTTGACATTCCAAAGAACAAGCGCCAATTCTTAGCACAATTTACTTATTTCTGGAGAAGCATTTTGGATTTGATGCAGTAAATACGACAGAGAATCTGATTTAAGAACGTCGGTTTACAGGTCGCTATAGTCGGTATCCAGTACCCTCTTAAAAACCTAATATCGACGTTGAAATGCACGTTAACAAATTTATTACAAACGTGTCGATCTTTCGTGTTATCTTTGGCACACATGTAGTAGCAAGAGAAAGAAAACTAATTCGATTACTCGAACAGCGTTAAACATAATAGTTTAGCAATATTGTAGTTGAAATAATCTTCTAATGATTATTATTATTTTAAACAACGAAGCTCACTTTCGCGCAGTAAATAACGTGAAACGTGATTGAAGAACAAGCAAAATCAACAGTCAAAAGACAATTTTCGAAATTGATTCGTCTCGACACAGTCACAACATATGAGAGTTAATGTTATAAAACAGAGTTAATGTAAAAGATAGTTAATGTTGTAAAAACGTTATAATTATAATTAAAAGAATGGTTGGTGGGAGATCAATACTTGTTTTTACTCAAGTGTTCTCACACAAAACTTTGTACTTATCAAGAAGAAATATAGATTGTAAATTTCGGGGCGAACTTTTCGAAAGTTGGCAAGAGAATACAAATCGAGAATTTTGAACTCGAGTCGGCACAAACCGTAGAACACATCACGTGAACGTAACAGGTAAGCGTGAGGATGAAGTAAACACAGTAAAGTTACATAGTCCTTGTTCGGATCTATCAACACAAGGAGAAATAAACGGTGTTAATAACGGTCGCTCGGCGAATTCAAAATATTTGCGAGACCTCAAGGAAAGGAGTATGAAAGTGAAAAAGAAAAAAAAATACAAGAGCGTACTGTTTTAAATGTTTTATTTATGCATTCGTCGTGTTAAGTCAGAGAGACACAAAGTCTCGAAGAAAAGAAAGCGCGATCGCGCTCGCGTGAAATATATTTTAACAGTTCAGAATTATATTTTAACAGAGATATATCTCTCGCCGATCTCTTATCGCGTCACGCTTATACAACTTTCAAATTCGTCTTGTTTTGTGGTTGCGCACGAAATTCACGTCGTTGCGTTTTAGCTTTTGTTCGATCTCGCGCTTGTAAACGAGGACGCGCGCGAGCGACGAACATCGAGTTCCACAGCGGCGTCACAGGAGCGGAAGCAACAACACCGCAAGCGAAATATGACAAAAAAAAATAAAGAGAAAATCGAAAGAGTAAAGAGAGAGAGAGAGAGAGAGAGAAAATGAGATCGGTTGCGTGAGATCCGCGGCCGATCGGTCATTTGAAATCCAAATAGGGCCTCAAAAAGATTCAAATCCTTTCGTGTGTGCGCGCAATCGCGGATGCACCGTGTATTTTAAAAAGCGCGCCGATCTTTTTGCATTCCGCATACATCTCTCTCCCGTGTATATCGATGAGATTTCGGGCCCCGATCGGCACGGGAGAGAGATTGTTTCTTGAGGTAAGAATATTTTAAATTGCAAAATCGGGACGGGAAGTCGCACACGCGCGCGTATCAGGTCGATTTAGAGAGAAAGCCTTCTTTTCTGAAAACGCGAGATATCAAACATCCTCGCGCGACCGTTACTTTTATTTAGAGAAAACGCACTTGCGCGCGGACAATACGAAAAAAATGTTTAATTCAAACAACACAATCTCGGAACGGGATACTTTCGCGGCCGAGTCAAGCGGAAAACGCAAAGAGGGTGTTCGCAATCTCTCTTTAACGGTAAAATAACAATTTGCACAAAGGGAGAGAACGATACGGTCCCGTCTCTCGAGCGTATCTGCCTCTCTTGCCTTCATTGATCGATTGCAAAGTAATAAGTACTTTGTTCGGCAACGGAGTCTCTCATCACATCTAAATAAAGGGCGGCAGACTCGCGCCCTTGTACATTGTTGAGGCATTATGTCGTCCAATAAAATTTTATAGCTACTTGATCACACACCCCAATCTCCATATTTTCTCTCTGCTCTCGTTCGTAAGACGTTCTCTTTCTGTTTGTCATGTTGTTTTCTTTTCTGAAATCAATTATAATAATTTGTGCAAGCGCGCGCGCGCGCGCGCGGAAGATCGAGAGAACGAAATTATATTTTATAGCTTCGCCGAAAATATACATCTCTCTCTCTCTCTCTCTCTCTCTCTCTCATCTTTGATCTTCGCGTTCTTATGGGTATTCGCGTCGTACATGTCGCATCCCGTGCAATGCTGACGCAATCCGCATATGTTTTTCGCTTAATTCTCGATAAATCTTGAAAAGAGCTAAAGATAAGGAAAGAGGCGAAAGAAAGATTCTTAAACCGCTATTTTTTATTTTATATAACGAAAAAAAGAACAAAGTGATGCAATTCGACATGTAATCTTTGTGATTGTCCAATACTTGTGCGCGTGTATGAGCGAGGTCACGAGAAGGAGAATCCCGGATTCTCGGATGATCTTCTCTGCTCGGAATCAACAGGTACGTATCAGAGAATTCTTGAAATATGTCGAGATAACGCACATCAATGTACGCGCATGGCGATTTGGGTCGCAATCACATTTCTTATGCAACTCTGATTATTTTTTTTTTTCGCATGTCACGCGTGCTAATCGTTAATTATAACGCGCTGTTCATCGAGCATTGCAATCTTCAGCGAATCCCGAAGCTTCTGCCGATCAGTCTTCAAAAGGTGAAACGATAACGTATCCGCGCAGATGGGGTCAGGCCAAAAAATTCCACCAATCGAAGATACACTACAGGGTCGCCGAGAAGATAGCGTGTCCCACGTGTTCCATGTAATGTCGAAATTACTTTTGACTCTTGTCTCATTGGCCGGATTCGGCGAAGAGACTGTTTATTTTTGATAAAGGTTTAATAAAACGATAATTTCGCCAAACGCGCAGAAAATGTATCGCCTGTTCGGACAGAGACATAACAAACAAAAACACATTAACGTTATATTATATGCAGCCGAATTATGATAACGATAATTCTCTCGAGCAAGAGCCCGTTAAATCAAGTCAATAAAAAATTGATTACGCGACGACTTGTCACAGTATAATTGCGACATATGTGAGCGCGACAACAAGTTGTCGATATCTTGCGTCGAAACGTGTCAATTATCGCGAAAGGCGGAGCTAAAAAATAGAGTGAGTGAGCGGATTTCATTTTTATGTAAGTAATTTCGGCATTAGTAGAGCGGAGCCGTTGAAGTGTAACGTAACGCGCGATATGAAATATTTTTTCTTATCGGTGCGGCGCGTGATTGATAAAGTTTTGCGAAATTACGTTTTGGGTTTTTTTGGTTTTTATTTTCATTTCTCGAACATCGGGTGAAAATCTGTTATCGCGACGATCGCATTTCGTTGCAGGTGACGCTGCTCCCCGCATGGGTCGCGTCGGAATTGTGCATTAGATTCTTGGAAGTTAACACGAATCTCTTGAACAATTCGAGAAGATTTAATCTCTGGAACGCGGCTACGCAAGAATTCGATAAACTCGAGGCGCTAACGGAGAACGGAACTGCCTTTTGCAGTATCGATCAAGTGAGCGACGCGCGAGGAGAGACTCTCGCCGTCTCCGTAGAAGTCGTGAGTACTGTTTTTACGCATATTTAACAGTTTCCGAGTCGTGTGACAAATAAAAATCACAAAATCAAATCCGTCAGATATCGCAATCGAAATGTGTGACCGGGCAAGTGCAATTGGCCAAATCTTTACAGAAAATTTGTTTATTTATTTTATACGTTAAGAAAATAAATATAAAAAATGATTTACGTAAAGTTATAAAAACTAATATTCAAGAACATTCTAAAAAACCTATACTCAAAGTATTGAAAATTGTTTATATTTCATATTTACATATTCGAAAATTATTTGTTTAACAAATGCCCGTCGATGCGCGTCCGATCATTGAGACATTTATCTCATCGGGAACGCAACGCCACTTATTGAGAAAATCTTTTCAGATGTATCCGTTCGTTATCTTAGACCGGAGAACCAACAAACTCACAGGATTCATAGGAGATATCTGGACTATCCTGGAAGGATTATTGAAATTCAAGTCAGTATTCTTCTTGCGCTAAGTAACAAATTGTTTTTTTTCGCTAGAAACAAAATTTGTCTCAAGATAACATTTGAGTGCTCTTGTACGCAGTTTATTAGTCGATTTCGCAAGAGTTTTGTGTAAACGATAAGTACTTCGGCACCCCTCTCTCCCACCTAGCGCGCTCGTAATGCTGTCGTTGGCGACGCGTTCGCACAAACAATTTTCATGGCGACGCTTCTTCAAAGAAGGTACGTGCGAACGAAGCCGTACGTAGAACCTGCCCAATTTTCCGCGTACCACCCACACCCACGCCGCCGGTGTGGGTCAAAATACTCGCATGATTCATTCGTCTAGACAGGTATAAGTATAGTATCAGGATGGGCAGATGGTAGAAACGAAGAGGGAAGAGTAAAAAAAAAAAAAACAAAAAAAAAGGATGTGTTGCGCGGCGGGCGAGGGTTGCGTTGGGCAAGGCCGTAATAAAGGCGTCTCTCTCTTTTTTTTTTTTTTTCACACAAATGCAGGACAACTTACAGCAAGCTTATCAAACAAGTTTATCAAACGCCGAAGAATAGAATCGCCGACTTGAACAAAGGAGATGTTCATGCGATACTGTCTGCCATAGTAATTTCCAGAAGTTCGTCGAATACTTTCATCTACAGTTCGCCGCTCACCGTCAACTCGTAAGTCGAATCACATTATTCCCACCCGTCCCGGATCTCGAAATCCTATTTTCATTTTTTGCTTTAACAAACGACGATGATTTTTCGGAGTTTTGTTGTCGCAGCTTGTTGCGAACTTTTGTCTCCGCGCGAGCGGAAAGCTCTCTCAGTCCGCGGGTGGTGATTTTTACGCGCCGGTCGTTAACCCGTTCCGGTTAAGCACCTATCCGCGGGATACGCGCTCATCGAGATCTCGTATCTTCCCGCTTGTGATTTTCTTCGGTTTTCTTCAACAAAAAAAAAACTTAAAAAAATGTAATTTACTTAAATTATTATTAGTTTTTTAATTGTTTAGATATCATCTGTTTGTTCGGTCGGAAGGCACGACAGTTGCCAATTGGATGTTTATTAATATCTTTCGTTGGGACTTATGGGTGACTCTTTTCGCAACTATCTTTGGTATTGCGTGCGTCATCTTGGGAATCAGCTATATAAAGAAACATATGAACATTAGCGATCTGGACGACGAGTTTGCTTCGCCAGTCTTCGCTTTTCTTTATGTTTTGGCCGGCTTAAGCGGTCAAGGTAACGCGCGAAAAATTCGAAAGACCGAAACGGTTCTTAAAAAAAGCTGGATTCACACTGTGTGACAAACGTAGCCGTTTTTCTTCTCAATCTCAAAACGTCAACAAAACTAATAAAAAAACTTCGGTTGTTTTATACAAAACGAGAGACATTGAGAAAATATTAGGAAAATAATAATACGATATTGCCGTGCTTGTTTACGGATATCCTAACCGTACGTTGGTTTTGTAAATACGTTTGTTTTTAAAAAAAATTTATATATTTTTTCGGGACTTTAGTTCCTTTCAGATAGCACAAAGATCCGAGAGATATCCCAAAAGATGCTCCACGTTCAAATTAGTTTAGTCTTTTGGACAGTCTTTACGACGTCTTTCTGACTTTTATGCCGTCTGGGCTGTTATTTATTTCTATTGTTGTTGTTGACGAGTTTCGTTCTTTGGAAGAAAACAAATGTCGCTGGTCTTTGACAAATTGCCAAAATAGACGCTCTCTCGGTGATTCAAGACAATGCACACCAGTTTACACTTCAACTCTGTCGCAACGGTCAAAATTTACGAGTTGGGCTCGGAATTGTTGCCTCATTTGTCAGACGTAGTGTGAGATTTCTATTTATTTTCAAATCTGTGAAACAATGGCTCAATGAAAAGAACAATTCTCGAGCAACAGTAAAGTCATCGATATCGTAAATGGCTTTTGCTTTGGCGAGCTGTCGCATCGGTGTGACAAATATCGACCTCTAATTTGGAAAAAAAAAAAAAAAAAAAAAAATAACAGGCATCTAGTAAATACTGGAACGTCTTTTTTACCTTCGATAACTACAGAAATAAATTAATTAAATCAATTTATCTTTTAGCGAGTCTACGAGAAATAATAAGAAAAACGAGAAATTGCAATTTGCATTAAAATAAAAATTACGTTTGATTCGGCGCAAAGCATACGCGTCAAGAATGTTTTTATATTGCGTCTGTGATCGATATTTCTAATATTGCTCAGTATAATTGAATTTTCTTTATCCACAGATCGTGATCGCATAAATCAAGTGTCACATGATAGATATTTAACGATACGATTATCGCGTGTATCCAGCTTTAGCAAACCGTCGCGTTTCTCATCCGTGCTTCTTCTATCTATTTTCACGCATTTCTCATAGGATTTTCGAAAGTGCCGGAGAGCTCGTCGATGCGAATAATAATGATATTATGCCTGATGATGGGAATGATCATGATGTACACGTTCAACAGTAGTCTCACTTCTTACTTGGCGAATAAAGGACGCTTCCTTCCTCTTGCGAATATCGGCGATGTACTGACAAAGAGAACACACTCGCTTTGCCTCAGAAACACAAGCAACGCATACGCTTATTTCACAGTCAAGGTATGTCAAGCGCGTTTACGTACAATAAGTTTCGAGTAGAAAGAAGTAAGAATTGAAACGAAACAAAATTATTTATTGGAAGCTTCTCACTAATTTTCTGAATAAAAAGAGATTCGAGTTCGATCAAACGAGCTATTTGCCACTAGTAGTAGCTATTTGCCAAGTAATTTTTCAACCAATTTCTATTTCGTTGAAGAAGTTGTAGATTTTTGCAAATAAAATAGACGCGTAACTTGCAACGTATATTTTGAATCTGAAAAATTCAAATATCACAAAGAAAAACAAAAGAAGCCGCGATCGTCCGTTCGACGCGAAACAAATAAACTAATGTGGATGGAAAAAAATTCAACTGAATAATTCAGTACTTTAATCAATTTTACAATAGAGATTAAATATTTAATTTTACACGTGCGTAGGGTGATCTGTCCAGTGAATGAACACTTAAGCTACATGTCTGTTAAAATTAGTTTTCAAAACTCGTTATCTAATCCCCTGAATGCTATTACAGTAAACGAGTTGTTTTATTATTAAGATCAGACATTTTAGGACGCAAGTCTAGCAATATTTAATATTTATAGCTTTTATTAAAAGTCTGGCATAAGATTAAATAAAAAGTGGCCAAATGACCAATGAATGAACATGAATTTCTAATGAATGAACAAAAATATTTCAGCGAATGAACGAAATAATATTTTTCAAGTAAATGTAATTTTCAATGCATTTATTTATTTTTCTCGATTAATTAGAGCAATTGTTGCAAGTGCGAAAAAAGTAATACTATGCATATTTTATGAAATTCTGAATGTAACTGTAAGTTTTTATTTAGAAAAAAATATATAGAGTAATATATTAAATAAAAAATATTATTTATTACACATAAAGTACAAACAACTATAAACATTTATATGTATAAAAAAATTAATAAAGTATGGTCGTATCAAAAAACAAAAAAAAGAACAAAATTATAATTCGAATATAACAAATTAATTATTAACAAATTAACAAATTATTATTAATTAATTATTAATTAATTATTAACAAATTATTAATTAATTATTAACAAATTATTAATTAAATTAATAATTAACATTTGTTACAAATAAACTTTTCTTTACTATCATAATCTATATGGTTCTCATGCAACCGTAAAGAGCATGATAAGCACTGAATCTAATCTTCTTTTGGAAGATCTTGAAAAAGTTCTTCACACTCAGAACATTTCTATTCACATGGTTTTACTTTTTGAATCGCTTTGTTATTTTTTTTTGCAGTTTTTGTCTTTGCTATTTTTTTTTAACTCCTTTTGTTTAGATCTTTATTTTTCTTTTTTTTTCCTTCATTTTGTCTTGTCTTTTTTCTTTTCTTCTCTATTTTTTATCTTTTCTAACTTGACTAATTGGTTTTTTTCTGTTCTTTTTTTTTCTTCCATTTTTCTTTATTCAGATGATGTAATGCAAAAAGGGATATAAAATCAGTGCAATTATAATTGATACTGCATTTTTTATACTAGATAGATATGATTTATTGTTTTATTCTGATAAATGTTAAATTATGTCTACGTATTAGAAGTTAATAGAGTAAAAAGACTGAATGTTCATTCACTGGTAAAGCATTTATCACAAAGCTTGCCAATAAATGAACGGTTGTTCATTTATTGATCAATTTTAACGTCAAGAGAGCATGCTAGATCTTAATTTTCTATATAATATAGAACAATGTTCATTCACTGGAGAGTGTTCATTCACTGGACAAGTCACTCTATCTCAGTACAAAAACAATTACGATATTCTCAGAATGAACCCGAGAGCGACCTTCAAGATGAATGGAAAGGACTGATTAATGCTAAAAATTGTCCGGACATGACGGATACCGAAACTCTTGCTTCGAAATTATGTCGTCCGAGAGTCGCCTATTTGGAAGGCGCGCATGTATTTCTACCCGTTTATCACCAAGTTGAACACGTATGCAACATCGTGCAGGTTCCCGGTTCCTACTGGGAAGTGATATTGGTATTTGTGCACAGCAGATCGTCGCGATACCGGCAACTCTTGAACAATTAGTGAGCAAATTAATTTGTTTGTAAATTTTTCTCGAGCGCAATTCAATACAATTAAAACAGAGACAGAGACTGTATTCTGAGGGCAGTTGAACGCTGAGTTTTTGATGTGTTGACAGTAAATGAAGCACAACATTCATTTTTTTATCACATTTGAATTTTAAACACCATCGTATAAAAGGAAACAGAAATTATAAAATAATCATCTAATTACATTTGATATCAATTACAATTTAAATCTATTCATATTCTCTCTTTCTCTCTGTCGACAGTTTGTTGCGTATGCGTTCGGCTGGAATAATCAAGTACATGGAGAAGAAGTGGAAGATTCACGAAAGTCGCGGCCAATCTGCTCACTTACAACCGAGCAGTTTTCATCCGGTAGAGTACGAACACATCGCCAAGAGCATTATTTTGTTCTCTTTTTTTATATTTATCAGCGTGATCATATGTATTTTTGAAAACATCTGGTATAGAAAGACGCAGCGACAATATGGAGAAAAAAACGGCATATCAATCTCGCTCGAGCAACCGATGTACGGTTGCGGTCCGCGCGCAACAAAGATTACGCCACGTCGGAGATTACGGCCAAAATGGCGCCGAAAGTCCGGTCCGATATTGTTATCCAAAGAAAAACAACAAATATTTGCTTCGCAGTTTATAAAGTAATTAAAAATCTCGGTGTGCGCGTGATAATAAAAACTGTAGCATCTCACGACAAGAAATAAAACGTTATTCGCAAGAATATTTGCAATCGCCATTTTATCGCTTGGTTTCTTATCGGTTTCTTTCGAATTAAGCAATTTCGTTATATAAAGTATAATTCGCGAGAACGAACATATTGATAACACAATGTACGCTGTTTTTTCGGGCAGAGATAATCTCAGACGTCTTATTATCAAGTATGTAAATTATAAAGACGGAGAATATAAATTTCGTTTTATCAGAGAACGCGTAAAAAAGAGTCACACTTTCCGTGCTCTTGGTTACTCATTTTTTTTTTTTTTTTTTTTTAATATTTAACATAAAACATTACGTATATATATATATATAACATATATATTAGAATACATAGCGCATTTAACACATGTTAAATTACAGAAAAACAAAACTAAACACTGATCTTGTCGTTGTCAATTATATGGCTTTTCGCTTTACGCTTATTTCATGTTTTTGTTCGCTCAAAAAACTTATCGTATCACGCGAAGAAAACATTATTACACAACGGACACAGCGCAACGTACTCGCATAACCGCAAAGAGAGACGACGCTCATCTGTTGTAGCTTGCTGTTATATAGTACAGGATATGTATATAATATAATATTCACAAATATAAACAACGAACATTTACAAATGCATTTTGCATCGCCATCAAGTATATAAGGCCTATATAAGAGATCTTATGTCGTTACTTAGAGAAACTTTGGCTTTGGTTTACATGGTTCTTTTTTTTTTATACCACACACACGTTGACTTTTCCGATGCGCGAAGCAAGAGAGAAACCAACGACGAATTAAGGAACAGTAGATTACACGTAAGTCATTCTTAAGTATTTCTTTCTTCTTGTTAAGTTTTCCCCACTTTTCTCCCTGCCCCCCTCACCCCGTTGCTCCGTTACATTATTTCACGAATCTCTCGATCTAACAAGCTTTTTACCCCCGTAATAGAAAAAAAATTTTAGGATTTCCCCGAGTCGAAATTTAACGTCTATATTGAACCTCAATTTTTTTTTTTTTTATGTAGGAGTAAGACAAAAAGTAGATCCTACTTAGACGCTGCTATACGTTCGCGAAATTTCCTTTTTTCCTGTAAAGTAATATCTTTTTATCCAGAAAATTAGTGAGAAGCTTCCAATAAATAATTTTGTTTCGTTTCAATTCTTACTTCTTTCTACTCGAAACTTATTGTACGTGAACGCGCTTGACATACCTTGACTGTGAAATAAGCGTATGCGTTGCTTGTGTTTCTGAGGCAAAGCGAGTGTGTTCTGAGGGTTTAAATTTCGACTCGGGTCGGACGCCTCTGTCGGATTTTTAATAATAGTTTTTTCATTCCTCAAAAAAGCAGTGTCGCAGATTTTTTTTTTCGTCTTCTTGAGCATAAAATATCGTATATCAAAGTCACGTATTTATCACGCGCGATTCTTCTCTTCATTTTTGTACGAGACGAGAAGAGACAGGATTATTTTTACCAATTGAAGAATAAAAAAGTTTTTTTGTTTTTAGCACAGCACACAGTGTTGGAAACTCAGAAATATTCTAGAAAAAGAGAAATATATCATGTAATCAAATATCAATACGTGACTTTGATATACGTATGCAGTTTCAATGGTTTTGTTTATCTTGTGTGTGCGCGCACGTATGCGCGTGTGTGTACGCGTGTTTCTAAAGTTAAATATCTATTATACAATATTTTTTCCGAATAAGAATAGTATTTTTTTCCGGCGTTTAGTCATAGTAGTAGTGTCTACAAAAAATTAATCATTGACATTTGCCTTAAATATTGATCATTAACCGACGGTATTTCGATTTTTTTATCACGACTTGCAAGACTTCGACGCACTAAAAAAAAAAAATTTCAGTGATCAATCGGTCAATCGTCAGGCCTTCTCTCAAGCTTACGTTGACTCGTGATTTGTTGATTTGCTCGCGTTTTTCAAATTAGGAGTGTCTAATAAATTATCAGAAATATTGCGATTTATAAGTAAATTATTACAAATGTTCCACACGCGTGATATTTCTGATAATTTGTTGAAACGCGTAACGCGATGATCTCTCAACTGCGTTGAGCAACCGGCTATGGTTTTCTGAACATAATTGCTGCGTGTATCGCTCGCTGAAAACCAATTTTTTTTTTTCTAGTGCGTCGAAGTCTTGCAAGTCGTGATAGAAAAATCGATTTGTTTATGTTTTGCAGCTCAAGTTTTCTTTCATGAGCGTGCCATGGTCTTAATACAAACATCATCACAATAATTATCGGTTTGCAAGATCTTAAGTGACATCGTTTACGTGCGTTAATAATAAGTGTTTTATTTTGCGACATCTCGCTATCTATACGTTATTGTTTTGTGAAAAACACTACGCGAAAGTATATTATCATATTCTCTTCTCTTATCTTGAATTACAGTTAAAAAAGGTAAGATTTTTTGGTTTTGATTGGCAGAAGTTTTTTGATCGTTATCGGCCGTTGCGGTGTAAAGTTTCCATATGTATTATCTAACTGAAAAGTAATTTGTTAACTGTGACTGTGAACACGCAAAGATCTTGTATAATTTACTTTTGTATGATAATAATTAACACGATGGACGGAAAGAAATGTAATTCCTCATCCGTTTGGTTTGTTCATACAGAGTGTCTAGAAAAAGAAAGAAGATAGAAGGAAGTAGAAACAAACAACAAAAAACATGTGGTTCGACGGAGTAGTGTTTTTGTGTATCTTTTTTCTTTACATCTGTAGAGCCTTTGCGCACATGATACAAAAGTCCGTCAGAAGACGGTGTCTTCTATTATAGAGTTTTGCACAGTTCTCTTTTCAGAAAGCGCACAAGGTATGTTACCACACCTCGCATTTATGAACCGGATTCATCTTTGATCCTATGGGACAGTTAAATTCTGTCGAAAATTCAGGCATGTTGGACAGCGGCCCGATAACTCGATACTTCGGAGGACAGTGCGAATCTTTCTCGATTTGAAGGATCAGCGACTCGGGCGTCGAAGCAGAACACCAGACCTGAACATAAAGAGTAAGTCATATATATATATGTACATCGGAATCTCATTATGCTTTGCATGTGCAAAATCGATTTAAATATTAATTATATATATTTTAACGCTTTGTCCTTGTTCTTGTGCAATGTGTAATAAAAAAATGGGTAGGTTGTAATTACACATTAAAGCAACTTACACATTAAAAAAGCAAAAAAAAACAAAATTTAAAGTCGTAGATTTTCTATCGAGAAATATTATTGAAGACCAACTCTTTTTCACTTGAGACATATAGAAGAATACTGTTTCTATTGTGTGAAACTCATTTTTCACAAATAGTCTGGAATTATTTTCCCTATAATGTGGTAATTCTACTAATATGTTTCTGCTTCTCTAACGCAAAAAAATATACTTTAAATTGGTACATTTTCTATTGAGACATATTATTGAAGACCAACTCTTTTTCAATTAAGAAATATAGAAAAATACTGTTTCTATTGAAACTCATTTTTCACAAAGTGTCTGGAATTAATCTCCTTCAAATATGGTAATTCTAATACTATTTTTTTGCTCTCTACAGCAAAAAATTATACTTCAAAGTCAAAGATTTTCTATCGAGAAATATTATTGAAATATTAATTATCAAAAACTAACTCTTTTTCACTTGAGAAATATAGAAAAATACTGTTTCTATTGAAACTAATTTTTCACAAAGTGTCTGGGTTTAATCTCCCTATAATATGGTATTTCTAATAATATGGTTTTGCTTCTATAAAGCAAGAAAATATAATTTAAAGTNTTTTTCACAAAGTGTCTGGGTTTAATCTCCCTATAATATGGTATTTCTAATAATATGGTTTTGCTTCTATAAAGCAAGAAAATATAATTTAAAGTGGTACATTGTTTATCGAGAAATATAATTGAAGACCAACTTATTTCAAATGAAAAATATAGAAAAGTAATGTTTCTATTGGAACTAATTTTTCACAAAGTGTCTGAGATTATTTTTCCTATACTATGGTAATTCTAATAATCACCTATACCACTGATTTAAATTAATTAATTAAAATAATATTTTAAGGTTCGCGAAAATTCACCTAAGTATATAAGGGCAATAAGAGCTGTTCGCGAGAGAAAACTTGTATGTATATGTATATATATATATATGTATACATGTGCAGCACTTAATTACAAATAAACATTATTGAAGATCAACTTTTTTTTACTTGAGAAACATAGAAAAATAATGTTTCTATTGAAACTTATTTTTCAAACAGTGTCTGGGATTATTTTCCCTATATTGTGGTATTTCTAATAATATGGTTTTGCTTNTAAAAGCAAGAAAATATAATCTAAAGTGGTACATTTTCTATCGAGACATCTTGTTGAAGACCAACTCTTTTTCACTTGAGAAATATAGGAAAATAATGTTTCNAAGAAAATATAATCTAAAGTGGTACATTTTCTATCGAGACATCTTGTTGAAGACCAACTCTTTTTCACTTGAGAAATATAGGAAAATAATGTTTCGATTGAAACTCATTTTTCACAAAGTGTCTGGGATTAGTTTCCCTATATTGTGGTAATTCTAGTAAATTTTTTTGCTTCTAAAAAGCAAAAAAATATAAATTACATTGGTACATTTTTTATCGAGACATATTATTGAAGACCAACTTTTTTTCAATTGAGAAACATAGAAAAATAATGTTTCTATTGAAACTAATTTTCTAAAAAGTGTCTGGAATTAATCTCCCTATAATGTGGTATTTCTAATAATATGGTTTTGCTTCTAAAAACAAGAAAATATAATTTAAAGTGGTACATTTTTTATCGAGACATTATTGAAGACCAACTCTTTTTCAATGAAGAAATATAGAAAAATACTGTTTCTATTGAAGCTAATTTTTCACAAAGTGTCTGGAATTATTTTTCCTACAATATGGTAATTCTAATAATCAACTGAACCACTGATTTAAATCAATTAATTAAAAATAAACATTATTAAAGGCTAATTCTTTTTCAATTGAAAAATATAGAAAAATAATGTTTCTATTGAAACTCATTTTTCACAAAGTGTCTGGGATTATTTTTCCCATAATATGGTAATTTTAATACTATTTGTTTGCTTCTATAAAGCAAAAAAATATAAATTAAATTGGTACATTTTTTATCGAGACAAATTATTGAAGACCAACTCTTTTTCAATTGAGAAATATAGAAAAATAATGTTTCTGTTGAAACTTATTTTTCACAAAGTGTCTGGGATTATTTTTCCTATACTATGGTAATTCTAATACTATTTGTTTGCTTCTTTAAAGCAAAAAACTATAATTTAAAGTCGTAGATTTTNAGTGTCTGGGATTATTTTTCCTATACTATGGTAATTCTAATACTATTTGTTTGCTTCTTTAAAGCAAAAAACTATAATTTAAAGTCGTAGATTTTCTATCGAGAAATATTATCTTAATCCAACTTTTTTCAATTGGGAAATATAGAAAAATAATGTTTCCATTGAAACTAATTTTTCACAAAGTGTGTCTAAGATTATTTTTAGTATAATATGGTAACTCTATTAATATTTTTCTGCTTCTATAAAGCAAAAAAATATAATTTAAATTGGTACATTTTCTATCAAGACATATTCTTGAAGACCAACTCTTTTTCAATTGAGAAATATAGAAAAATAATGTTTTGATTAAAACTCATTTTTCACAAAGAGTCTGGGATTATTTTTCCTATACTATGGTAATTCTAATAATCACCTATAAACCATTGGTTTAAATTAATTAATTAAAATAATATTCTAAGACTCGTGAAAATTTACTTAATTATATAAGCCCAATACGAGCCGTTCGCAGAATGTTGAGAGAAACATTCTATGTGTATGTATACATATATATATATATATGTATGTATATGTCAACGTCAATTAATTAAAAATAAACATTTTTAAAGTCCAACTCTTTTTCAGTTGAGAAATATAGAAAAATATTGTTTCTATTAAAACTAATTTTTCCAAAAGTGTCTGGGATTAGTTTCTCTATATTGTGGTAATTCTAGTAAATATTTTTGCTTCTATAAAGCAAAAAAATATAATTTACATTGGTACATTTTTTATCGAGACATATTATTGAAGACCAACTCTTTTTCACTTGAGAAACATAGAAAAATAATGTTTCTATTAAAACTAATTTTTTCAAAAGTGTCTGGGATTAGTTTCCCTATATTGTGGTAATTCTAATAATATTTTGTTGCTTCTATAAAGCAAAAAAATATAATTTACAGTGGTACAGTTTCTATCGAGAAATATTATTGAAGACCAACTCTTTTTCAATTGAGAAATATAGAAAAATACTGTTTCTATTGAAACTAATTTTTCACAAAGTGTCTGGAATTAATTTTCCTCTAACATGGTAATTCTAGTAATATTT